AAAAGAAAATATATATATAAAAAAGTTATATTTCAATCTTGCAGAATGTATTAGTTTATTATTAAGCAAACCCTGTTGCAAGAAATGACATCTTATTAATGAGGTGATAGTAAAAAGGAAATAGAAAAATAGTTTATAATATCACATATTTTGATCAGTTTCTTATATATGAACATGATAATATAGCAGTAGAGTTTTAGGTTTTGATGTTATGACTGCATTTACTAGACACTTTTATTTTTCTTGATGCTGTAATACAAAAAAAAAAAAAAAAAAAATTGTGAAGTCTGTTTTGCTGGATTTTTCACCATAATGCTTCCCATGAATGAAATAATGAATCATAGGGAAGGACTTTGTGAAATTAAATTGTATCTGTTTCAGGTTCTTCTCTTTTTTATCTTTAATTTTGTAAAGGGTTAATTTTATCTAATAAATTAATTTGCTCACTCACACTCAGTCACACTCACAGTCACACTCACAGTCACACTCACAGTCACAGTCACGCTCACAGTCACGCTCACAGTCACGCTCACAGTCACGCTCACGCTCACGCTCACGCTCACGCTCACGCTCACGCTCACGCTCACGCTCACGCTCACGCTCACTCTCACGCTCACGCTCACGCTCACGCTCACTCTCACGCTCACTCTCACGCTCACTCTCACGCTCACTCTCACGCTCACTCTCACGCTCACTCTCACGCTCACTCTCACGCTCACTCTCACACTCACACTCACACTCACACTCAGTCACACTTGTGTGGATGAGTGGTTTTGTGGTAATGTGTGGTTTGCGTGTGTGTGTGTCATCTATATATTATCTTGTTTCTGTACAAATGGAAAAGTTATTCAATTATTTTAGTGTTGTGTATGAAGGAGCTAACATGTTAATCATTTATATGAAAAAAAAAAAGTTTGACAAGATTATTTGATTATCAGTCAAGTAATGCAGATTATACAGAAAGATACAGAGGACCTTCAAGGTTGAATTGTATTGGAGAACATAATGTGAACTGTTTAATAAGTTAGGTAAATCCCCTTTATATAATGACCTTTGAGGAACAGGTTAAAGAAACCAGTTTTCATTAGGGAAGAGGCAAGGAGGGAAAGCCAGGTAAAAGGAGAGGCTATAGATAAGGGTGAATGAAAAGGAGAGAAGAAACCAAGGGAGGAGGATAGAGATAAGAAGAGGAAGGGAAAGGAGGAGAGGTGAAGAGAGATAGATAGGGAGAGTGGGGGTGATGGGCACAGGGAGGGTGATGGGGAGAGGGAGAGGGGGAGGGGGAGGGGGAGGGAGGAGGGATTGGGAGGGGGAGAGAGAAGGGGAGGGAGGAGGGATTGGGAGGAGAAAGGGGAGGGAGGAGAAAGGGGAGGGAGGAGGGATTGGGAGGGGGAGGGGGTGAAAGGGGAGGGAGGAGGGATTGGGAGGGGGAGGGGGAGGGAGGAGGGTAGAGGGTACTGTTTTTTTTTTTTTTTTTAGAAACCGGTTTAGTCATGTTAGCCTGTTTTCTGATTCCGGCCTGGATTTGCCCAGAACTGGAAGAATTGGTCCTGGTTCACTAACCTTCAAACTGGCTAAGTCTTAAGGTGAATTATAGAGAGAAGTGATCAGACTTAATAATACCATGACAAGTATCTGTTATTCTTGTATCTTCACAGATTGTATCAGCTGATGCTTATCATTGGTGTTTTAACCTTGTCTTATCTGTGACAAGTGGAGAACCCTGTTCATGAGATAGTCACAAATCAGAGCAGAGATTCTGGTGAACATGGAAACAATAGTAGTAGTATGGTGTTTGCATGTAGTGTAATATGATGACTTCAACGTTAATTTGACACTTCTGTCTTTCGTCATTAGCTTGTTTCCTTATCATTTGGTAGTTGTTTGTTGTTTCTGCTGCCTGGTTTGGAGAATTTAGAGGATGGATAGTGAGTCTTGGTTGCCCTTGCCTTTGAACAGATTGAATATTGAAAGCTTGCTTCAGTCAAAAATAGAATATATGTATATATATATTATATATAAATTTATATACAATATACATGTATAATATACATGTGTATATATATATATAAATATATATATATAAATATATAAATATAAATATATAAATATAAATATATAAATATAAATATATAAATATAAATATATAAATATAAATATATAAATATAAATATATAAATATAAATATATAAAAATTATATATATATATATATATATATATATATATATATATAGAGAGAGAGAGAGAGAGAGAGAGAGAGAGAGAGAGAGAGAGAGAGAGAGAGAGAGAGAGAGAGAGAGAGAGAGAGATAACATATTAGATGGCACATGTTTTAGGTTTTAGAAATTGATACTTAACTACATTACTGTATATTTCAAAATAACTTTCTTAAATATGTATGCAGCTTTAAAAAGATAGAGTAATTATAATCATAGGATAGTGGGTACTACTACTTGAGCAAAATAAAATAGGAAATAGGAAGTTGATATTTCTCAGCAAACTAGTTGGCAACTCAGCATCAGATAAGTGGGAGGCGTTGTTTTGTGTAGGTTCTCTGCTGTCTTGTTAGAGAAGGTGACATAACAGGAGAAGGTGACATAACAGAAGGTGACAGGACAGACACCAGTATGGCAAGCAAGAGGTATAAACAGGAAATTCTCTCCTGAATGCTTCATGGAATTGAACAAAGTGTCTCCCACATAATTTTCATTTGAACTGGTTTTAATTTACTTTTCTATTGCAGAATCCCCTGTGAAGTCAAAGCTGAAAGGTCTCTGTCATCCGGAGACTATGATGGCATTGTTTTGGTGACAGATGCACTAAGCAAACTTGGATCAGGCTTTGAACCCCTGGCAGCTGCACTGAAATCTCAGGCAGAGTTTGGTATGTATTGGTAACAATAATTTTTTTTATTTTCTTGGTTTTCCTACGTGTACAAAATGACTGTTATGAGTAGAATGGTATCTGACATCCATGTTGTAAAGGACTTATTTTACAGACTCATCAGTAGAGAAAGATGGTGCTTGTGTAAAGGTAAACCTTCCAGCCGGCCGCCTAATCTTTGCACCTACTGGACCCCTTAACCGTGATTATGATGACGTCCGTCGATTTGCGGATGCTGCAGCGTCTGGCATCAAGAGGTAAGGTCTAAAGTGTTTTAATGGAATTCTTTATCATTTTTTTTATAGCATCAGATTTCTATCCACATGATATAATAGCTCTATAGATATTTTTTATTTTTGGGGATTAATGTGGTATGTACTTTATAATTCAGATGATGGACAGTTAAAGCCTGAAATATATGGCTTAGATATAAAGGTTTATAACAAGTTTATTGTTGAGGATTTGATTGTTGTATTTTAGAGCTTATCATCAAGTTTCAAATGGGATCAGAAGTGAAGTTATCAGAAACTAGAATAATTTCTAATTTGAATGGCGTGAATAATTGATGGTGTTACTCTTTATGATAATTTCTATAATGCATTCACAACTTTCATACACCTAATTTCTTTTTTTGTATAACACATGGTTTCCAAAATATGCCAGTTTGTAATTTGTGAAAAGCAGAAAAGTTATTCAGAGGCATGACTTTAAATGTTGCAGTTATTAGATTAATATGTTTCTCTATATTTGTATTACATGTTATCTTAAAGTTGTAAGTATACCTATATTAGTCACATGAGAATATTGGCTTGTCAGAAGAATTAAAGAAGCTTCTGATATGAGACTTAATTATGGAGTACACCTCTTGAGATATGATCAGTTATCAGTAGATAAATCAAGGTGACTTCTAATATGTTTGAATTAGAATGTTAATTTTGTGGATATCTTTGTTTTGCCATTAGGTAATTAAAGTGTATATCTTTATTTTACTATTGTTCGAAAGTATATTTGATCAAATTCATATAAAAAAAATAATCCAAAATATTAAATGTGTATACATGTTCCTCTTCTTGTCCTTGCATCTATATCATCCTATGAATTGAATTCTTTCTTTATACGATTGATTAATTCGCGGACATGCCTTCCCTAAACAGAGCAATCAAAGTCGGGGTCAAGCGTCCACTCCTCATCCGAGCCCCAGATCAGAGCTTCAAGCACGCTGACCTTGTGACCTTGCTCGGAGCACTTCACGCCCTTTACGTGCCCCTTGAGGTAAGGTAACGGAATTGGGACTGTTTCTCGCTTTTAAATAGTCGAGGTGTGTTTTTTTGGCGAGTGAAAGATTTGCTTATTGAACAGGTGTAATATTTGAACATGATTTGTTACCTTTTTTGAGTTTTGAATTCTTTTCCTATTTTCCTAGTTTGTTGTATATAGTGATGGTGCAAAAGCAAATGTCAAATTCTTTGTTTTAAGATTCGAGAAGATGTACCAGAGAAAATCACCAAGGTTCAGACTCTTGGATTTCTTGGCAGCGACAAGGTCGTTGAGCTGGCTCTTGCTCTAGAGAGTGGCAGGTTAGTGTCTCTAAAGCTAATGGAACAAAGAATAAGGAAGTAAGTTAAGAGGCATAAGGTTTTTTTGTTTCCATGTGGTGTATGGCCTGTATGCAGGTTATTTATTTGTTTTAAAAAATATTTAATTTTATTTATTATCTGTCAGTCTCAGTCTTCCTTGTTTATTAACATTGACAACCTACCTTCTAGAAAGGAACATTTTGTATTTAATTTTTATATTTAGATATATTACTTAGACAACCCCCCCCCCCCCCCCCCCTCTATATCTAATTTTTAATAATTACAGGTCTGTTGCTCGTGATGTTGGAGGTTCTGACCCAGAGCGCATGGCTCCCCCACGTGTGGAGGAGTATGTGCGGAAAGTGTTTGAGGGTACAAAGGTGAAAGTCGATGTAGTTTCTGATGATACTAAACTTGTCAAGGAGTACCCTCTGTTTTCTGCTGTCAACAGGTGTGCCAAAGGTCAGAAACAATTTAATATATATGTTTTTTTTATAGTGTTGTAATTTGTGATGTATATATATATATTTTTTTTGGGGGGGTGTTGCAGTTTGAGGTAGTTTGTATATATTCTAGAGATCTGAGGGGGCAGTTCCTCTAACTACATGTTTTTAGTACCAGTAGTATTGGTAATAAACAATAATAGTGCCACAAAAGGGATAGTAATAACCAATAACAAATAATATACAATACACATAGAGGTGCAGCTTTTGACACAAGCTTGCCGTCATTGCAGGTGTGCCACGTCACCAGGGTCGCATAATCTACCTGACTTACGAAGGTGCTGGGCCAATTGAACAGACCCTGATGTTGGTGGGCAAGGGTGTGACCTATGACACTGGCGGAGCTGACATCAAGGCTGGCGGTGTGATGGCTGGCATGCACAGAGATAAGTGTGGGTCAGCAGCTGTGGCTGGTTTCATGCAGATCCTTGCAAAACTGCAGCCTGCCAATATTAAGGTGATTGCCACTGTACATGTTTATCTATGGGTGCACCCATGTTTTTATCTTTTGTGAGGATGATATTGAGATAATGCTGAATAATTATACATGTTTCAAGCTTCAGTTTAACAGTGGTTCTCTGTATTGATGGAACTTTTTTGCTCAAGTATATGGATGTAATCTAAGAACTCGCTTCCAGGTTATTGGCTCTATGGCAATGGTACGCAACAGTGTGGGTTCAGAGTGCTATGTTGCAGATGAGATAATAACCTCTCGTGCTGGAGTGAGAGTAAGAGTTGGAAACACAGATGCAGAAGGACGAATGGCCATGGCAGATGTCTTGTGCCATATGAAGGAAATGGCAGTCAATGAGGTATAGAAATGTCAAGAGTTTAGATAAAGTACATGAGCATTAAAAATATTATTGAAAATGTAAAAGAGTAATTCTAATTTCACAGAGAAATTCTAATTTTTTAATTTCAGGTAAATCCTTATCTCATGACGATTGCAACACTGACGGGTCACTGTGTCCTTGCATATGGTGAAGCATATACGGCCATAATTGATAATGGCTCGGCAAGGCTGGCTGGTATGTCTCAGAAGTTGCAGGCATCTGGGGAAGAGGTTGCTGATCCATTTGAGGTAAATGCCAGTGGTTTGCTTTATTGTTTTGTGAAACCATGTCTTTGATCACAAAGGAATGAGAGGAAAGGAGACTGTAAAGTTGATTTTCATAATTTGTAACATTTGCCTACAACTTTAATAACCATGAAACTGGTAAAAAATATTTTTTGTATGTAATATATTATTTATCACCAAATTGAATAAATTACCCATTCAGATTTCTTCAATGAGGCGAGAAGACTTCGATTTCCATTGTGGCAAGAGTGAATATGAGGACGTCTTGCAATGTAACAATGCCCCTTCTTCGCGCACTCCACGTGGCCACCAGACTCCCTCAGCCTTCCTTGTTATGTCTTCAGGAATGGATAAGGTTGGTCTTTTCATGCAGCCGTTTTTCAGTTAAGGTCCTTTTCAGTTAGCTTTATTTTTTTTTAGTGTTTTTTGTAGTGTTTTTTTTTTTTTAAAGTCTACTGCAAATGATTAGTTGCCTAAATGTCAATGAAGAATTAATTGGACTTTTTATCAGTGCATATTTAATGAAAGCAAAGTTAAATACAAAAATTATATATATTAACCAATTGGATCAAGGTGACATGACTATCACGTTATGAAAAATATTGGTTGAGGGGCAGTTGGCATGAACATGCCATCATGGGAAAATCTGGCTTGGTGACATGAACCTGCCATTGTGAGTGTTGCAGCTGAAGGCCGAGGTGATGGAAAAAAATCGCCACAAGTGCACAAACCTATTGGACATTTATTTTACTCATTTGGCGATTTTGCATTATTCCCATCAATGTACGAGCATGGAGTGAAATGCCCGTGCTGAAAGCTGTTTGATAGTAAACTGAATGTTACATAAAAAAAAAAGGTAGTGTTACATAGTTTTATATTTCTAACAATGAGTTGTAGACTACTTAGACAGATGATTGGAGTCTGTTCAAAGAAAAAAATATTACCATCTGGATAATGCAAATCAAATGACAAATATGGACATCGGAAGATGCCAAAAAACTAAAAATGCTAATGCATAAAAAGAGTAAATAACTTTGCAAATAGGAAGCTTAGGCTTGTCACTTGTCACGCTTGTTCGTGTGCACCCGGCCTACAAGCAGCCACCTAGCAGAGTGGTCGCTCACATAAGGCCGATAATGCCTAATGTTTTTGTGATATGATTAGTGTAATGCAACCAGATCCAATTAGTTAAATAGAATAGTAAGGAGTTTGGTTGAAATAGCCCTTACCTCAAGACATTTACACATGCCTTTCATCTTCCCCTGTGTGTTTGAAACATTTTGATATTATCTAATGGTGAGAAGGCAAACCTAGTCTATTTTGATCATGAGTGGGCGAGTTATTGCCTAATTCACGTAGGCAAGCAAGAGAGACATTTCTTCTTCCTTATCATTGTAGACTAATTAAAGAACTTCCACTTTCAGCATGGGAAGGAAAGCAGCAAGCCCCTCAAGTACTCGCATCTGGATATTGCCGGCTCTTCCGGACCTTTCCCCGGGATTCCAACTGGGGCCCCCATTCTTGCCATGGCTCATGCTTTTATTCCCAATGCCTTCTAATTTTTCAGATAATCCAGTGATAAGCATAGGAGTTCTAGTTTTGAAATATCGCTGGATGAACTCTTAAACTCTTATTGAAAAACTAAGCATTGGCTTAAAATTGGCGAATCATGCAGCTCTATTTGATGATAAACAAGGGTATGGGAGTTTAACAAATTGTTGAAAGTTAATTTATGTCCTCATGAGTAAATATTGCTGTGATATCTTGGACCTCTACCCCACAAAGACTGACTTGGATATTTGCAGTTATGTAACTGTCAATGCCAGTACTTAATGATCCCAGAGAAAAAAAAATGTTATAGCTTAATACTTAGCACCTCAGAGATTGTAATTTAATTTTATATGAATTTCTAACAGATGAAATTAATTTAAATGATGCATATTTGAAGATATTTTTAAAATGTTCTTTCTCTATCTTGACATTTATATATTAGGGCAAAAACACTATCTTTGTCCATTGTATGCCTCATCACCATCTCTTGTAAAAGACTGCTACACTTAAATAAATATTTGTTTCATACATGCATTTTTTTTATCACAAGGACAAGATATATACAGGAGAGTATAATTAAACCACAAGAATGCCAGGGTTTCATTTATTGGAATTAAATAAACCTTTCATAAATACCCACTTTAGCACCTTGATGTCCTCTGGAATCTCGGTGTTGAGATCATAGTCAAGTTTATGAATAAATAAAGTTACATGACGACCTCATTGTGCCTAAAAGTAATTATTTTCGTTGTTGCTCACTGTCACTTGCAGTAAGATTAGTGATGTTAATTTTTTCCCCCCCTTCTTTTCTGACTAGGCAGAAATAACTATTTTGTTAGATTATTATGATTATTTAAATGCAAACTACCTAGGTATCTCAATTTTGTGGTACAGAGTATTGTAAAATTAAAAGTTTTACAGCTAGTTTTATAAGACTTTTATAAACTACCCTAGATATTTTTCCATTTTGTTTTTAGACCTATTTTCATGAAGTTTGATACGGAAGAGTATTATATGCACCAATCTGGGCAAAACTGAACAAACACTTAATGTCTACAAAGTCATTATTTCATTCTAACCAACATACACTATTCCTAGAATTTCTAGAAAAGATCTGGATGTCAGTTAATACCAACATTTATATACCCTTAAAATATTAAAACATACCCTTGAAATATTAAAACAAAATTAATAGCCTACAAATAATTTTTTTCTTTCATGAGAAAAGTACCTGATATAAATGTAGAAAAGGTATGAATGAGTATCTTCACAGTGCAAGAAATGTATTTGACAGGTTATGATTACATTTTGTCAGTAAATGCATATATTTGACAAATATATAACTGATGCCAGTCAAATGCATCTCTTGCACTCTGAAGATATTCATTCTCATTCTTAGCTTTTCTACATTTGTTACGATGAACACTGTTCACCTGATATAAAGAAATTATACATAACATTTTCCTATACATTATAGGGTAAACCTATTTAATATAGTACAACCATACTTTGTGATGCATCAAAACTTACAAAAACTCCATGACTTAAAAAGTATAAGCCAAATTCAGTTACAAAAAGATTAAAGCAGTCAAGGATAATCTATCCATAATTTCCTGTCTTGTATGATCAATTTTGTATGAATAACTTGATACACAGATGTACTGCAATTCATTTACTTCTTGTAATTTCGTGCTCCAAAGATTGTGCTGCCCACTCGAACATTGGTGCTTCCTATTAGGATCTGGAAAAATTAAGCAAATTATCATAGTTATCTGGAAAACATTTCAATGTTAATCAATAGAACATGTTAAAGATCTTTAAAATATTATTAAATAACAAAGTATGCTAATTTGCCAGGCTTCTAATTGCTCCTAAAGAAACATAAGCTTACAAGAGATGATAAAACATTCATTCCTTTAACCAAATCAGCATGGGTGGCAAGACTACAATGCCATGCCCACTGTAATGAAAGTTAATTTATTGTCTTTACACATAGATCGCTCTACAAGTGCTTGGTCACCAAGGAGTCAGCTTTTACTCTTAGCTATCTCACCTGTTTATCCTTTCCCTTGATTTATTGAAAGCTTCAATTTTATTAATTTAACAAGCCAATTTTAAGCGCAGGAGTTCACTACATCTAGCAGAATGCCCTGCGCTTTGGCAAGTCGCCACTGCATACAGCCGCACTAAACATATTGAGTGGTTTGTTATGACGCTGGAAGGTGTGACCCGGCGGTATGGGGTTAATATTTCAATAACAATTTAACAGTCACAACATCAATAAGAATGATAAAGTCAACATTAATAGTATTAGAAAGAAAAACACATTCTCCTGCAAATTCAAGGAATGGGGAAATCAGGTGTGGTCACTAGGACCACCTGATAGACTCCTTGGTGGCTGAGCACA